GTAAAAACACCCGGCGGGCTGGATAAATGTTTTCGGCGGGCCGCATGTGGCCCGCGGGCCGCAGTTCAAGGACCCCTGCTTTAAAAAGATATTAACTTGTAAGAACATGTAATAAATAACTTCAAAATGCAATGGGTATTCAACTTTAAAGCATGCTTTTAACATTTATGTAAAACGTTTTTTGTACTCCTTCAACAGAAACGTATCTGGCCACTGGGTAAAGCCAGCAATAAAACTACTGGTCCGCAAGGTGTTAAGATCCAGCCTTTAAAAAAATTAGCATAATGTGAACAATGACTTTTCTTAAAGAATATTGGTGACACAGAAGATAAATTTAAAGAGGTAGACAGTACCTTTGTTTTGAAAAGCATTTTTAATGAGGCAAATAAAACTCAAGAATGAAAATGAGTAATAGTAGAAAAATAGCCTTAAAATTTTCTTTGAAAAATTTTGCTGATGCTATTTCGGCGTACACACAGAGAGAGATAAACTATATGTGTATGCAAAGAGTACTATTTATATTTGGGACTCAACCCAACTGGGCAAGTCCATTCCTCATTGTGCTAGACTCTCACCCTTTGATTGGGGATCAAGGCACATGATCTCGCACCAGGAAGGTTTATTTGGGTAGCTTTATAAGTCTTCTCTCTTCTTCAGAAGCAACAAAGACAAAGAGAAAAACTATGCCAGTTCATGGTACTGCCGGCTGGTATGAAATAATCACTTTTTCCAATTAAAGGACTTCTCCGACATTTCTTCCAGGCTCCCAGCTGCCTTTTGATTATTTAACTGCTAAATGGTTAATGAATAGTTTGCTTTTTCAAAAACTCTCTAACTGTTCATTTCATTAGATTAAGCATGAAACATCTTGGCTGCAAACTAAGTAAAGGTGGACAGCCAGGCAGGCAGGAAAGAAGGCAGGAAGAGGAAAGAAAAGAAAAAGACAAGGAATGAGAAAAAGGAAAGAAGAAAATCATTGTTTTCCCAAATGCTTCAACAGACAAGGTTTTTGTGCAGAACTGTGATGTAGGCTCACCAGAGAGTGCCTACTCAAGATTAAGTGTTCAGAAATAAGCACCCTCCAACTTATCTCCAGCTATAAAAACCCAGGGTCCTCCGAATGACCCCAAGCATGAACGAGTGACCTTAGAACTGAGGACTTTGTGAGGACTCTTCCTCTCTAAGGAGATGTTAACTCCCTAGACACCTGGGAGCCTTCTAAAGTAACTTGGCATCTTCCAGCCATCTCCTTTCCAACGTCTCATCTCCTGGCATGGGGAGAGCCAGGTCATTACTTTCTCCACCAATGGGTGGTATGCTCTCCCTTTCTCCACATACACCCATGCCACAGGCACACACCATTGAATGCAAATGATCTGATTTCTAGAAAATTAGTGCAAGTCTTCTGAACTTCTTAACAGATTAATTCAACCAAGAAACATTATCTGAACGCCAACCATGTGTGAGACAGTGTTAGGTCTTGGAATGCAGAAGAAAATAAGATAAATAAATTGCCTTTAATTGTTTAGAAAGATTATTTCAAATAAAGTAACTTGCCTTTAATTGTTTAGAAAGATTATTTCAAATAAAGTAACTTGCCTTTAATTGTTTAGAAAGATTATTTCAAATGTCATTACCTCTTGTCGAAGACAGCACGTTTAACTATGGGTGGCAGGGCTAGTGTGTCTGGGAAAACAGCTTAAAATATTTTCAGTCATATTTATTTGCTCAAAGATATATAAGAATCCATTACTCTCCATGCATTTTATTACCTCCTTGTCTTGTTTTTTTTTTTTAATTACTTTCCTTTTTCCTAGAAGCCCTTTCTCTCCTTTTCCACTCTCAAATCCCAGATCAAATATTACCACTTGCTTAGTTTTCCCTGACACCTTCAGTTTTACAATTGCCTTCCTGTTATATGCCTATTATAGCTCTTAGCTATTACAGGTACACTGGCTATATGAAAAGAACATTAGTTCCTAGTTCATAATAAGCTCTCAATAATGTGTCTTTGAAAGAAGAAAAAGAGAGACAGGGAGGTTTGTGTTCTCAAGACTGCCGAACCGAGTTCCTGCAGGAAAGGCAGGGTGTTCTGTGGTGTTTATGTTTGGTTTTTGTTTCTGTATAATCATTTCTATCCTTTTGTTCAGAAGAGGTATGATACCTGTTTGTTGCACTGACTGGTTGAAAATTGGAGAAAAATGTTTAAAAAAATGGTCTTTGATCCACATATTACTCTTGAAAAGGTTGTTCTCTTCACCATCATCTTGTTTTGTAATGTGAAAATACACTCAGAGTAACTACATTTCTTTATTGTCATTTTTTCAATAATATTTAGATGGAGACTTATAATGTCCCCCAAGGGCTACTTTCTTGAGTCTTAAATATAAATGTTTCTCTTGGAAAACAAAGATTAAAAAAGAATAACCTCTATGGAAATCCTTCTTCTACAAAGCCTTGTCACCTACATGCTGGAATATTTTGAAAATGTGCTCTGAATGGTGATCTGTACATTTAAATAAGTCATTATTATTTAGCAAATAGGGAGAAAGGCCTCGGGTAGTGATTACCAATTAATAAGAGTTTTTATTCACTTGTTTAAAAAGATGGTTTCCAGATGCAAATAAGGCACAGTACCTATTTATAGAAACAGCAGCAGGATTTAAGAGGCAATGAAATGTTCAAGATGTTGATTGTTTTATCACAAATCTGAATTAATATTTAAATAATTGTATGCCATCTGCCTATCTCAGCATTTGTTATGCTCTGACCCCACTCTTTGTGAACATACTCATTATTTTATGATAATATTTTATATATATTTATATATTTTTAAACAGAGGACATTTTAAAATCTTATTCTTTAAATGAAACACAGAGCTTTTAAAAAAAAAAGCAGACATGACAGCTGGGAAAAATTATAAAGTCGTGCTATAGAGACATTCTGTAAGGAGTGTTAGATATGCTGATGTGTTGGATATACTAACTGCTATTGCCACATCACCACTACTAACTACATACATGAATGCCAGTAGTAATGATGACAATAACTCCTTTTATTTGTACAGATTTTTACATATTACAAGCCTTTCATGTACCTATTTTTGATTCTCATAACAATCATGACAACGATGGAATTTTTCCTAAGGACAAATTCAAAGATAAGAAAGTATCATATGCAATAAGATGTGCATCCCTGTGTTTTACATAATAATGAAAAAAAATCAAAATGCCAAAAAGTATCAGAATGTTTTACATAATATGGTCAATCCATATGCTATATGGTTTAAAAATATTAATACAAAGTCTATATATCATAAAGGAAAAATTCTCGTGTTATTCTGTTAGGAGAAAACAGGAAGACTATAAAATCATATTTGTACTATTATTATAACTACGGAAATATTCCTATGTGTTTGAACAAGGCCTCCATGGTTACTTGGTCAAATGTAAAATGTCTTATGATGGCATAGTACAGCGGTAAAATTTTCGAATTATTTTAGGTTTCCAGTGTCAGTGGTATTGTTTAATATATTATATACGTGTTTATGTATTAATAGGAAATTAAATGCATATGCTTGTGATAATAAACATTTGCCAAACGCGTGTATCACATAAAACAATGCATCTCTTTAGGGGAAAACCTTTTATGAAAAAATGATTACAGGCTACTTTTCAGCAGATGTGAGTCTCACCCTCCTCACCCCACCTTGTGTGCATCAGGGTCTCCAGGGGGGATTTGAAAAAATGCTACTGCTCAGGCTGGGTGTGCCCTAGAGATGGGTTTTCAACTGGTCTGGAATAGGGCCCAAGGCATTGCTTTTTATTTCTTTTCAAGTTATCCAGGTAATTCTATTGTGCAGCTTGGATTGAAAACAATTAAGCAAACAAATTTTATATTTTTAAATATTAAATTTCCTGAATTTTCATCTCTTGCATAAGACTTTCAAGATTAAAAATGCTGTTTGGATGCAGACTTGTCTGACTTGTGGAATAATGAGTGCAAAGTACCTTTATGCTATCAGAGTAGCAAAGATTTAAAAATAATGAAACACAATGTTGGTGAGAATAAACACTACTGTGCACTGTTTATAGAAATGGAAATTGAATGTATATTGATCAACTTTGCTGGAGGGCAGTTTGACAGGAAGTATTCAAAGCTTTAAATTTGTTCCTGGAATTCCACTTTCAAGACTTTATCTTTAGAAAGTAATTTAGTATATTGACAAAGATGAGTTAATGTTTTTAGTGCTGCTTACCATGTAAAGGATTGTAAACAATCAAAATATCACAACTGTATGTTGATTAAATTATGGTATATCCATACATGATACTAGTAAAATAATTCTGTAGTTAAAAGAGTTAACATGGAAAGATATATTGATAAATGAAAAAGTTATGACAGCATGATTCCATTTTTGTTCAAATATGTAACACGTGTATGAGTGTGTGTGTGTGTGTGTGTGTGTGTGTGTGTGTATAAATATATACAAATACTAGTACAGGTGGGTAAAGTCCAGAAAACTATACATTAAAATATTAAAATATTTATAAGTACTTTTTATTTTCTGTTTTATATGCTCATGCATATTCTACTTTTTTTTTTTACTAAAAGCAAGTATTAGTATTACAAATAGAAGAACAAAAACTTTTTTAGAAGGAAAAATGTTTTTTAAGAATGAAGGCTTGTTGCTTTTATCTAACCCAAATGAATGAACTACTACAGAACTTCCTCCATATTCACTCTGTCCAGCTGTGAAAAACAAGCTATTTCTTAGTAACCTAAACTTCTCCAATAAATTGATTTTTAAAGTAGGTTAGGAAACGTGTGTCATTCAGATGGGATATCATCTCTGATCACAAATTCTCTGATTAAAATCAGTAAAGGGGACAGGTAATGAAATAGTTGAAATGGATCTCAATGTGTTTTCATGGGGTTGTCTTCCTTCACGTCCACAATTAACGCGCGGCGTTTTTGTTTTGTGTTGTCTTCCTTTTAGGCGGTTCAGGACCCTCATCCTCCATCGCCATCGCTGGCACCAGCCATCCTGCCATCACCAAGACAACATCTGTTCTCCAGGACGGCGTCATCGTCACCACCGCGGCGGGAAACCCACTGCAGAGTCAGCTGCCCATCGGGAGTGACTTTCCCTTTGTTGGCCAGGAGCACGCACTTCATTTTCCATCCAACAGCACTTCCAACAACCATCTTCCACACCCCTTGAACCCCAGCCTCCTCAGTTCTCTGCCTATCTCTTTGCCAGTGAATCAACAGCATCTCCTAAACCAGAACCTATTAAATATCCTCCAGCCTTCAGCGGGAGAAGGCAAGTCTGAGATCAACCTCCACCCTTTAGGTTTTCTCAACCCGAATGTAAACGCTGCTTTAGCTTTTCTCTCCGGTGACGTGGATGGGCAGGGATTGCAGCCTGTCCACTTCCAGCTCTTAGCGGCCCTGCTTCAGAACCAAGCCCACGCAGCTGCCATGCTTCCCCTGCCATCTTTCAATCTGACCATCTCAGATCTTTTTCAACAGCAAAATACCCCTTTACCCTCCTTAACACAGATGACAGCCCCACCAGACCATTTGCCAAGCAATCAGTCAGAGAACAGCCGAGCTGAGACCCTTTTAACCAGCCCCCTGGGGAACCCTTTACCCAGCTTTGCAGGCAGTGACACTACTTTTAACCCCCTGTTCCTCCCAGCTGTCACTGGGGCCTCAGGATTAATGGCCTTGAATCCCCAGCTGTTGGGAGGTGTCCTGAACTCGGCATCGGCCAACACCGCTAATCATCCAGAGGTTTCCATAGCAACTTCCTCCCAGGCAACCACTACCACAACCACTACATCATCCGCAGTGGCAGCACTGACTGTCTCAACACTTGGTGGGACAGCAGTGGTGTCAATGGCAGAAACATTGCTGAATGTATCTAATAGTGCTGGGAACACACCTGGTCCAGCTAAACTCAACAGTAACTCTGTGGTGCCACAGCTACTTAACCCTCTACTGGGGACAGGTCTGCTTGGTAAGTTACATTTTTTCACAAATTTTTACAAAAGAAACGTTTTTCTAATTCTAATTTCTCATTTTTAAAGACTCCATTTTGTCACACTATTTTTAAAAATGTTTTTGTTATGTCACAGCTTGCTTAAGGAACTAAATATAATAACACCCACACACCACCATAGTTATACAAACATGAAAATGACTTTTTTCTTCTCCCCTATCCTAGCAATACTAAATACCATTTTAATCTGCCTTCGCTTATCTTCTAATTCTGATGCCACCTAACGCTAACCTATCCATCATCCTCTTAAGCCAAGTAGTCTTATTTTTCAAATAATAAAGCACAGGTACATCTTAAAAATAACTTTTATTTGAATTTTAGTTGGTGTGGCATCACAGGGTTAGTATGAGCAGCTGCACCGTGGATGGAAACAGTCTCAGGAAGTGTTTTCCAGGTGATCCCTCAATAAACAGAATTAAATACTTAGCGAGCAAAATAAGAAACAAGGCATAAAAACATTCAAAGTTAAAATGTGTCCAAGTTCAAGGAATAGCTATTGCTAGATTTCCTCCGACAGTATTATTCTTTAAAATTTTTGTGGCTTAAAAACAAAATTCTTCATGTAAATTATAATGTCACAAAAATGTTAGATAATAATGTCAAGTATATTCAACTGATTGGTGCAGGTGACTATAATATAAAGTACAGAGATGGTTTCCATAAAGTCTGGAAGCATCAGCAAATATACTTGATATTGTCAAGGGCATGTCCAATGTATGCAAATATATATATATATATATATAATACAGTTTAATTAGTTTTATTTGTCATTGAAATCGATGCAGTTAAGTAATCTAAAAAAGCATACTAGAATTATATATTTCAAGTTACAGGACAATTCCTTTGACATCATCTTCAAAATAACTTCAGTGTAATTTCAAAACAAGTCTATTTTGAATTTTGAATATAAATTTAGTTATTAGCTAATCCTACCTGATTATATAATATTTATTTTTTAATGATTATGATAATGATTTCTTTTTGTATTGTTCACTTTCTTTACAATTTTAATTTTAAGTGACCAACCTTTCACTTAAAAACAAAATATATATTTCCAGACAAAACCCAGTTTTATTTGGTGGTAATTGGTGATGATTGTGACTTGAGAACTAAACTTTGTAAACAAAGCCTGACCAGATCCACTTATTTTAATCATATGATCAAATTCTTATGATTGCTAAAACAGGTTAAGACTAATTTCTACCTTTAATTGTAGGAGCTTTAATAAAAATAATTTCAAGGAATTTTTAACCCTGATGCTCAATGTAAGGACTGGCTAATGGATAGAGAAAGACTCATCTCTCATGACATAAAACCAAACAAATGATTATGAAAGATAAAATTAAATAGTAAAATACTCTTTCCTTACCACTTAGTAAGACTTTGAGGAGAAAAAGAGAAAAAAAAATTTATTATGTAAGTCTAGTTTTTAGTTTTTGTTTCAGGAATCATTGGGTACAAGGATAGGCATAGGATTGCCAAAGAATCACATTGACTTATATTTTATGTTTTCCAAACCATAGGTGACATGTCCTCAATAAACAATACTTTGAATAATCATCAACTGACTCATCTACAGTCGCTGTTAAACAACAATCAGATGTTTCCTCCAAATCAGCAGCAGCAGCAGCAGATTCTTCAGGGGTACCCGAATCTCCAGGCATTCCAAGGACAGCCCACAATTCCCTGCCCAGCTAACAATAACCCCATGGCTTGTCTGTTTCAGAACTTTCAGGTACTCTCCTTCCCTGGGTTACTGTAGTAGAAACCACTGTCTAAGTTTTTTTAAACACTTAATTTGGGCAAAGAGACAAAAGAAGGAAGTTACTAGTGTATGCCCTTCCACCTCTACTAACTGTCATTTCTCTATAAAGAATATTGTTAAACAGTCTAGTCTTTTATGTGAAGGCTATTTTATTTTGTCTGAAGCATCCCAGTGGTCCCTTTAGAGCCATTAGTAAAAACTGATCTTGGTACCCTCTTGCACCCTTTTGAGGGTTTACTCCCATTGCTCTCATGATTAAAATCCATATCCTTAACATGCCTGCCCTGCCTGCCTCACTCTCAGCCCCACTCCCACGGCTCTCTTCCTGGCTTCAGCCACTTGGTCTTCTTCTTAGTTAGATAAACTGAATAAATTCCTGATGGATTTAGAAGCTAGATGGAAAGAGTATCACCAAATAAGTATAAGACGAAAATATAGGATGTTTTTATAATTTAAGGGTAGGAAAGGCTCTTTCAGAAGACACAAAACAAAGTAGTAAAAAGAAGTAAGAAAACTGAATACATAAACCTTTAAAATCTGTATGATTAAGTGTATTCTAAACAAAGTGAAAGACAAGTGATAACCTGGAGGAAAATAATAGCAAATATCTGATATCTGTAATATAAAAAGAGCTCCTACATATTAGAAAAATAAAGATAATTGATTAGAAAAATGAGCAATAGATATGAACAGTCAATTACAGAAAATAAAAGATAAATTATTAAACATGAAAAGAATAATCAGTTATATAAATTATAACACTAATATGTCCATCAAATTGATGATGACTTGCTGACAGTGGTGTGGGATAATGATATATTGTTATATATCAGATATATTGTTGGTCTGATTATATGCTGATACAGTCTTTTTGGAGAGTAATTTTAGTTTATCTGGTTTTTAAATATACATGACCTTTGACCCAGAAATTTAACTTCTATGTGTCTATGTTAAAGAAGTCTTTGATGTGAACAAAAGGGCACAATTCAGAATGTTCATTACAACTACTTAAACATCCATCAGTAGGGACATGGTTAAATATATTATGGTAGATCCATCTATCTAGTAGTTTAAAAAATTAGCTAGACTTGCCTGGCTGGTATGGTTCAGTGGTTGAGCAGTGATCTATGAACCAGGAAGTCACAGTTCGATTCCTAGTCAGGAATTGGGCTCGCACATGCCCAGGTTGCAGGCTCAGTCCCCATTGTGGAGCATGCAGGAGGCAGCTAATCAATGATTCTCATTATTGATGTTTCTATCTCTTTCTCCCTCTCCCTCCATCTTTGAAATCAATAAAAATATATTTTTAAAAATTCGCTAGACTTATATAATCTGATATGTTAAGGTCCACAAGATTACAAGACTCCAATACTGTAGTATTGCAGAAGAAAAGTAAAATACAATACCATTTATATGAAAGGTAGAAAGAAGGAAAGAAAGGAGGAAAGAAGGAAGGAAGGAAAGAATTCCCATGGGTTAGATATCCACCTACACACTTGAATGTATTAAAAATAGGTGTCTGCAAGAATGCTCTCCAGCACTGATTACTAGTACTTCTAAGAAAGGAAATTGGATTGCAGTAGGATGGCAAAGTACAGATTTAGGTGGGGCGTAATGATAAAGAAAACTTTTGCTTTTTGGACAATGTGAAAATACTCATATACATCTTATGTAATCAAATAATTTAGAAAGGAAGAGGAAGTGTTCAACCATGTCACTGAGAAAACAAGCAGATGAAGCTTGCAGAGAAGCCATTAGATTTAGCAGTGAGCATCACCAATGACTTGATGGAATGCAGTTTGGGTGGAGTAGTGGGAGCATGAGCCAGATTGTAATGGATGAAAGGATGAAAACGGTTAGGAATTAAAGAGTGTAGATGAAAAACTTTCAAAAACTGAATGATAAAGAGCATATGAAAAACAGGGTAGTGCCCCAAGGCAGGCATAGGTTGACTGCAAACTTTGTAATATGGAAGCCATGCACATAGTTGTATGCTAAAGGAAAGAAACCAAAAAGAAGAGATGGTAGTTACCAGAGGGAAAGGGATTAGAATTGTACATGTGAAATATAATTTTATTAACCAATAAATTTCATTTTTTTAATGTGGAAGAGATGGAACATAAAGAGGAGAAGGGATAATAGGTAAGGCAAGATCCCTGAGGAGGAGGTAGGATCAGAAGCACAAATGGAGAACTTGCTCTCAGAGAACAGAAGGTGTCCCTCTGATCCTGGGAAGCAGAACAGGATTTGGGACACGAAGTTGCACAGAAGAATGTGCTGCCAGAAGCCAGGGAGGAGCAGAGTATAAGAATTATGAGAATTCTTAACCTATGAACTCCATTTTCTGTGTTAAGTAAGGCCATCTACTAAGAATAATGCAAGAGACGGTACAGCAGCCAGCTTGTGGAAGTGGGTGAAGAACTGAATAGTGGTGAAGCATCGCAGACTCAGCACCCTCCCTGGAGACATAGATGAGGCTGGCAGTTGAATTGACTCAGGCCTGGGATTTTATCTGGGAGGTGTAGACCAGGGGAGAGTGTCAGGAGAGTCAGTGTGTGCTGGTGCTCCCAGGTTCTGCTTTAGTGGGGAAGGATGGGAAGACCGGAAGGGAGTGATCAGGGGTGTGGAGGTGCCATTCCAAGTATCAATTGGAGCAGCAATTCTTACATGGGGTTGGTGAAGTTAGAGTAACCTCAGAGACTTTTTTCAAACTGCACCCATCCTTCCTGTCCTGAGCATTAATAGTCTTCTCTGGTGGCATTCCCTCCCTTCACCTCTTCCCAACTCAGAAACACTTCTTTAGGGAGCCATTGTCACTGGTGTCCCTCAGCTGATGCCTGGTAAGGTTGAAAATTAGACTTTAAAATGTTAGTGTTATATTAGAAATATCTTGTTGTTAAGAAAGGAGTATGTGTTTTTTTGTTTTATATCGTATTTCACTTAGTTCAGTAGAAATCATTTTCAAAAATCTGGTTCCCTTTGTAATTTGAGCAGTGTTGGTGACTGGCTTGCTTCTCTCTTTGAATCCCAAATTGCAAAACCTGTAATGATACTAAATATTTGAAGTCATCACCTGAAAACATATTTTGTCCAACAGCCTCAACTTTATTTTTTTTCTAGAGAATGTTTAGTAATAATGATTAAAAATAAATCTGTTGAATGATTTTAACCAAAGAAACAGTACCCAATTATAATCAAGACATAAGCTTTTCTATACAGAGTAACGTTTTATTCATTTTTGAGTCATTTGCTTCCCCATTATGTTTGTTTGTCTTCTGGTAGATCTTAAAATTATGTCTTTCTCTTTGAGGTCTTTAAATTTATTTTTTTCTCTCTCTCACTGCTTCCTGTCTATTTCTTTAAGGTGAGAATGCAGGAAGATGCAGCTCTCCTAAACAAAAGACCCAGCGCTCAGCCGGGGCTCACTGCACTTCCTGAGAACCCGAACACGACACTCCCACCTTTCCAAGATACAGCTTGTGAGTTGCAACCGAGGATTGACCCATCTCTTGGCCAGCAGGTGAAGGACGGCCTCATTGTGGGTGGCCAAGGTGATGCCTCTGTAGATGCCATTTACAAGGCAGTTGTCGATGCTGCCAGCAAAGGAATGCAGGTTGTCATCACCACAGCAGTCAACAGTACAACTCAGATCAGCCCCATTCCAGCTCTGAGTGCCATGAGTGCCTTCACTGCTTCGATTGGTGACCCATTAAGTCTCCCCAGTGCTGTCAGTGCAGTCATTCATGGACGGAACATGGGCAATGTCGATCACGATGGTAGGCTGAGGAATGCAAGAGGGCCCCGGCTGCCCAGGAATCCGGACCATGGGAAAAACTCACACGAAGGAGATGGGTTTGAATATTTCAAGTCAGCAAGTTGCCACGCATCTAAAAAACAGTGGGATGGGGAGCAGAGCCCTGGAGGGGAGCGAAACAGGTGGAAGTGTGAGGAATTTTTAGATCATCCAGGCCATATTCACAGTAGTCCTTGTCACGAAAGGCCCAACAATGTCTCTACACTGCCATTTCTGCCTGGGGAACAGCACCCAATACTGTTACCACCAAGAAACTGTCAAGGGGATAAAATTCTGGAGGAAAATTTCAGGTATAATAACTACAAAAGAACTATGATGAGTTTCAAGGAGAGACTAGAGAACACTGTGGAAAGATGTGCACACATCAATGGGAACAGACCTCGACAGAGTCGTGGCTTTGGAGAGCTGCTGAGCACCACAAAGCAAGACCTGGTCCTAGGGGAGCAGTCTCCAAGCTCCTCAAATAGTTTGGAAAGTTCTCTGGTCAAAGACTACATCCATTACAATGGAGACTTTAATGCCAAAAGCATTAATGGGTGTGTGCCTAGTCCTTCAGATGCTAAAAGCATTAGTAGCGAAGATGACCTACGGAATCCTGACTCCCCCTCTTCAAACGAGTTGATACATTATAGGCCAAGGACGTTCAATGTTGGCGACTTGGTCTGGGGCCAAATCAAAGGACTGACATCTTGGCCTGGAAAATTAGTAAGAGAAGACGACGTTCACAATTTATATCAACAAAGCCCCGAGGAAGGGAAGGTATACCAATCTTTATCCATTGTCAAATACTAACCTTTATTCAGATATCAATTATTATTTGTTGTTATCATCACTTTGGATTCTTTGGATTTGAAATTAGGATTCTTCATGACTCATTAAGGTTTCAAAAACTTCTGGAGCATAAAGTGAAGAGGGGAAGGTTAGAGGCACCAAAATGTCCTATCGCCAAGGGGTGAGTTGTGAAGCATCTGTAGATTCCACCAAGGCTCAGAGTGGTTCCAACCCAGGAACCAGATGGCCAGAATTTAACTCTGCCTTTCTTGCCTGCATTTGTCTAATTCTTCATCCCATATGCAGAGGATGAAGGCAAGTGGCAGTGAGTGGGGAAAAGTCTGGTAGCCACTGGAGTCCAGGAGTGTGGCAGGGGGCAGCATCCCCTCCATGTGCTTACATGTGACCCTTGGATCCTGGGAGAGGGTAAAATCAGGGTGGATTGCAGCCATTTCTGGAAGCAGCAGGTAATATCTGAAGTCAGAATGGTGTCTCCTTTCAGGAAAAGTCCTGGGCCCCTATAGCATATGGAAATGTTTAGCCCCGTAGTCTGGTTCTACTTAACACAATCTGATCATATAAATTAAAGGAAAAGTTCTCCGTGAAACTACCATTCAATTTAGAAGAAATTAGTAGGGGTCTTCTGGGCTTCCCCCACCCCTGCCCCGCAGTTGGCGGAAGTGACTCAGTAGGCAAGAAATATGCAGAACGTATAAAGTAGATAGAAAAGTCTATATCTGACCAGGGGGAGATAATAATGTATGTTTCTCACATATAGTGAACATACATAATTTTTCATCTCCTTGGGAAATAAAAATTACTCTTCCAGGTATAAGTATTATTCTGTTAAAGAGCATATTGTATAAAGCTTTGTCAACTCTGCGCAAACCTCCACTGGCACTTAGGTTTAATGGCAGGAAACCAAAGGCATTTTTGCTCGCACAATAAAAGGATTGTCTTTCTGCAAATGACCGGGAGGTCCTTAAACCCGTTGCTTATAATGCCTAATATATACTTGTCAGGATACACTGTGGCCATAATGTTTCTATGTTTGATAAGAAAATGAATTCCATACTCCTAGTCACAAAACATTTTACTCTCTAATCTCTCCGAGACCAGACAAACAGTCTTTAGGTTGATAAACCTAAGTATTTTTGACAGTTTATTCCAAAATAATTAGAAACAGCAAAATTGGGCTTTTTGGATATAAATGGAACTGCTGCAAATACAAGATGTAGACACTGAGCTGTTTTATAATGTCTGTGCACATGAAACCAAGTCTTTTTTAATGTGCTATTTTACAAAAGCTTAACCAAAGGAAAGAGTACGGCCTCCCTTTCCTGGAAACCTTCTTCCTGTCCTGAATGCCTTGTCTAAATATCTTCCGTGTCCCCTGGAGAATAAAGGCATGTGCTTTTAACACATTTCCCATTCAGCAATGCTCCTGATCTTCCGATTAGTCTGTGTCAGCAAACTCCTAAGATTGAGTTCCTCACTGAGATTCAGGGAGATACACTAAAAAAATAAAAAGTCGTTATCTAAGAGTCCAAGAATCATTTATTTTCCTTCATTTAAGTAAGCCACTGGTTTTCATTCGCTATAAAATAATGTTTCAAAAATCCAGATTCTTCATTCTTATTGTAAGCAATAGGAAAATTCTTAATAGGGAGAATAAAATTGTTTCTGTAAATGCAAATACCCCCCCCCCTTCCCATGGGCTGACATTGTAACTTCGCATTCTCAAAATGTTGATTTCAAGATACACTACAAATATTTTTAGTAATTCAGAAAAATAATTTAAAGTAGACGTTTAGAGGTAAAAAAACCAAAAATGTATGTAATGAAATATTAATAGCACATGAAATATTTAGCTATCATTGAAAAGCAAGGTATCACAGCCTTAAATGCTCTAGGACACTTAACATTTTTAAAAACCTCGAGTCTTTTCAGGGCCTGCGTCACTTTTTCACATAAAAAACAAAACAAAGTACTACTTCACAAAGAATCTTTTTTCTCCTATAGTTCACAAAACAAAGGAAGGGCTACCTCATACCTTATTTAATGATGCCCAGCTAGCCAAACAGTGTTCCCAATTTCAAACACCAGAAAAGGCAAAATTTCAAACCCAGGTCTGTCTGACTTCTAGCCCAATGACCTTGGCCTGCTGCCTTCGAGACCTTGGTGCATCCAGAAAAGATTAAACTATGTTTAATATCTGTGTGAGACAAAGCACAATCTATTCTAAAAGATTCCCATTAAAACAATTTTTAAATTTGAACTCTTATTCAAGTGAACAAAGTATGAATGTTAGTTACATAGAGCCCCTTAATCCTCGGTGGATAAAGTCTTGTACTTCTGCTTTTAAAAAGGGAAGCGGTGCATTAGGGCTTCCTCCATATACTGTGGCAACGCCTGACATTTTAATAATGTCGAAAGACAAAGACAGAGGCTGACTCCATAGACAATTGGTTTATTATAGTAAGATCTTATTAATTCGACCTCACTAACACAGAAGGGACCTTCTTTCCTAGTGTTTATCTTTGTAGTATCTCGGAGAAACGGGTTTGCTAGAGAACTTTCTTACACATTACCCTTTTAAACCTTTTTAGCCTCTCAGGTTTTCATACTATTTCCATGTCTACCAAAGTAAACTCATCCAAGACCCTGTCAGATCCCAGCAGATGAAATCTACGTTAATTCAAATTTTAGAATGGATTTATTATCTTACCTCCCCACCACCCCCTCATCCCACAAACCTACCATTTATTTATTTTCTGTTGCAGTCTTTGTCCTGAACAGGACACTTCAGATTCTTTTTGGAAGTAGGCTAAATAGAAACAATAAATAATTGATTGACAGGACTGCAGGTTACTAGTTCAGAGCAAACCAGGCACCTCTGGTGTTTGCAGGTTGTATGAGTGGTCTCTGTACCGAGAGGTCGGTGCTGATCAGAGCACTGATGTCTTCGGGGGCCTGAGATCTCCAGCGCCATGTTGTCCATAAGCTGATGCTTGAGCCAGCTATTTGTCACGATAGTAAGTGATCTTTTCAGTTTGTTATTTTAGAAAGGCACTTTCAGTCTTTGGTGGAGTATGACATGTAGCAGAATTATGAATAAGCCATTAGAAATGTTCCGCAGTTTCTGAGATTACTTGCTAAGAGGTATGATTTCTAAGCATCAACACCGTATGAATACAGTCTACAGAGAACTAGAGAGAAAGCAAGGTGTGGCAGAAGGCATGGGCTTTGGGCATTTTGACGTGAGCTTCATCCCAGCTCTGCCAGTTACCAAGATGGTCCTGGGTAGGTATGTTAACCTCCCAGAGCTGCAGTCTTCGCACCTCTCGAGTGGGAATATTAATTCCTATTCAGGATGATGTTTTAAGAGTTAAAACACAAAAAAGGCTCAGCAAAAATGAACCTTCTCATCCATATTCTCTATGCACGACAACCCGATTAATTTGGTTCCCACCATTATAGAATTGTGGCCACTGGACCTTTGTTGGTGTTCATCGAGGCATTATCCATGAATGCAGGGTTTACTATCCATGAATACAGGATGAGGATAAAAGGATTATAAGGAATGTAGTTAATGAGTGAAAAAGTTTATAACTTTTTAATAAACCTCAGCACATCAGACATATTGGCATATCTGATTATAAATTAATATTAGCTGCTCATTTCAAGCAGGAGTTGACTTGGAAGCATTTCAAAGCTCTCTGTTTGTTGAGTGAACTTGAAAGTCCCCTTCTCAGATTTTCTAAAAAACATCAACTCAGACTATCTTCCTCTACCTTCCTTCACACCCTCCCCCGCACTCAACAACATGACGTAGTAGAGATTTTTAACAGTCTGCGAAAGGTTGGACTGGATCGCCCGTTGAGTACTGTACCATAGTTCTAGCTATGGGACAGCACGGCAGGGTCTTCAGTGCCTTATGGTGCCATTCAGGAAGTGGTATCGCCTTACTAATACTTTTTTCCCTTTAATTAGCAGTTTGTAATGAAGCATGGTCTGGAAGATACTTACATTTTTTTTTTTAAAGAAATGCAAGTTTCTATAAACTCTGAACCTGTCCTAGTTTGAGGTTCAGTAGCCAAGAGTAAGACTTCGTTGCAGTGCTCAAGTACAAGGTCATGGCCAACGAGGCACTGCCAGTTGTTGGCATTGGATCAGAGAATTCTTGGAAAGGAGAAGAGCTTCCACTGGGGCCGCACCTACACTCCACAATGTGCAGACAGGGTAAGCCTGTACCACAGGCATCTTTATGTGCTCATTTCAGCACATTATTTAAACATAGGAAAAAATGCCCTTGTTTTCTAAAACAAATTTTGGCATTCTCATCTTTGATCTTATAGTAGCTTGAAAGGGATGATGCCCTTTTTCTTTTTTAATGATTGAAAAGTAAAATTCTTTTTTTTTTCTAAGTAGATCATTTTTACTCTTTGAACATTGCCCCATTGGTCTTCACATTTCATTGCTCTGGCATTCAATATGTATTTTGCCTCGAGCCCAATTTAGGAAAGGATTTCTTTCTAGATTGGCACCAACATGTTTCTTTCCAATGAAACATTTGTTGTTGTTTGACAAGTAGGGACATCTCTTGATTACCCAGGAAAGTTCTCCATTTCGGGGCAGCACCACCTGGGTAAATGAAGACAGGTCTGCAAACGCAGTGGGCGGGGTGCCCCTTCTCCAGACTCACACTTGGATTTTTTCCACACAGTTGTATTTGGCAAGTAGAGATAAGAAGAGTTCTTTATATAGTCATTCAAAGCAGACAAAACACATCATTATTAAACTCATAAGAAAATTGATTTGGGACAGCACACTTCTGCATGTCCATACAGTGTCACATGCACACGTTTGACAGTGTGGAGCAAAACCAGAGACAGCCTGCATCATATTCGGGGGATGTAGAACTTAAGGAATGGAGCCTGGGGACTGGTTTTGGGAGATGTGCCGTCCTGTGATGTTTACACATTTTA